AAAGAGAATGCACTCAGATACCAAACTCGCCAGAGTCTACTGACCGCTGGTTCCACCGTCCTCCTTCCCATGGGCATGCGATGCTCAACGCCTTCTCCTGGGTTCCTTCAATTAGCTTCGCTGGCTGACACCCTTTTCTGTAACCCCGGCTCCTCTCCAGCCCTGTTCCCACAGCAGGTCCCTCGGGGTGTCCCTCAGCCTTGAGGGAGGGTCCCCCTCACCCCTATTCATGTCCCCCAACCCTCAGAAACCGAAGAGGCGAGGGTCAGCTTTGGAAAGGTGACGCTTGGCAAAGGGTGGCCTGGGGGGAGGGAGGTGGTCTGAGATGCGTTCCCGGTAAGGAGCTGAGTTGGCCACGTGAAACGGTGGCCCAGCGCCTTCCCCGGCCACAGCGAGACTGGCACGCCTCCTCCATTACCTTCAGACCAGCCATGTCCCAGCATCGTCCCCGCCCCCGCCCCCCACGTGGCTGCTCCCTGGGGCTGCTCAGGGCTGTGGACGGTGTGCGCCTTCTTTTCAACAGGCTCCTCGGCTCCTATGAGGCCCTCGCCGGCGGGTCCACGGTGGAGGGGTTTGAGGACTTCACGGGCGGCATCTCGGAGTTTTTTGACCTGAAGAAGCCACCGACCGGCCTGTTCCAGATCATCCGGAAGGCCCTCCGCGCGGGGTCCCTGCTGGCCTGCTCCATTGATGTGAGCTCCCTTCCCCACGTGTGGCCGGGAGGGGACCGGGCCGGCCTTGGGCCAGAGCGGAGCCTGGGACTTCATGGGCAAGTCCGGTGGCGCCTTGGTCCCAGCCCGTGGGAGCTGGTGCAGCCCTAATGAGTGGGTAGGAACTGGGGTTGGTCTCACGGTGGGAGCCCCAATTTCCCCTCACTGGTGGGGCCCCTTCGGTACCACGGAAATCGCTCCAAGAAGGCAGCCTTGAGCCCTGGATCCTCACCCTGCTTTGCTAGGCCTTGTTGGGAAGTAATTTTGGGATTTGGGGGAGCAAACGTGATGATTGACAACTTGATGGGCTTGGAAAAAGGGAGAGGGTCTGAAACCAGGGGCCACACCCTGGTGGGGGCTGGCTGTGCGGGGTGCCAAGGTGGCATGGAGACCCCGGCCCCCTGGTCTGTGACCGCCGCTCCTCCTCTTCCTCCTGCTCACCTGGTGGCCTAGGCCTGTGGGGGGCACGTCTCTATGGAAATCCTAGTGGGACATGTGTGTTTCTGATGGGGGATGACATGGGGCATGGGTTGGGGGGGAGGCTGTGGAACAGGGAGGATGCTGGGAAGCTCGATCCATGAAAACAGTGAGAACCAGAACTTATCCAGGGCAGCCGTCCTGGTCATTATCCCTCCTGCAGGCAGCGGGATGAATGAGTTCCCGGTTCTGTGACATTTTAAAATATATTGTATTGATTTTTTTACAGAGAGGAAGGGAGAGGGACAGAGAGTCAGAAACATCGATGAGAGAGAAACATCGACCAGCTGCCTCCTGCACACCTCCCACTGGAGACGTGCCCGCAACCAAGGTACATGCCCTT